GTGAAGAAGATGGAAAAATGAGGGTAGTTTGCAAATATTGTCAAAAAAAAATACCTAGCAGATTCAAAAGGGCATGGGACAAGTAATTTGTTGAGTCATTTGGGTAGTTGTCCAAAATATCCCTACAGAGAACATGGTAAGGGACAACATACCTTATCTTTTCAACACAAAGGATGGAGAAAAGGGTGTTGAACTTGTGGCAACAACCTTCACTGCAGAGGCTGGTAAAAGAGCTCTAGCTGAGATGATTTTACTAGATGAATTACCATTTAGGTTCATTGAGGGAGCTGGTTTTTGAAAATTTTGTAACGTCTTTCAACCTAACTTCAAACCAATCCCATGTCGTACCTCTATTTCCAAATATATTGTAACAATATTTAACCAAGAGAGGGATAAGTTGAGGAATGTGTTGAGAGGTCATAGGTGTGACTTATCACTGACACATGGACATCCATACAAAATTTGAATTATATGTCTGCCCATTTCATTGATGATGAATGGAAATTACAAAAACAAATCATAAATTTTAGTCAAGTTGAAGATCACAAGGGAGAAACCATTGATAAAAGAATTGAAATGTGTTTGCTTTAGTGGAATATTGGTTGTGTTTTTTCTTTGACAGTTGATAATGCTAGCTCTAACAGCACAACCATTAAATACTTGAAGAGGAAAACAAAGGATTGGAAAGGGACTGTCTTGGGACATGAGTTCTTACACATGCGTTGTTGTGTGCATATTTTGAATCGCATAGTGAGTGAGGGTTTGAAAGAATTAGATGCATCAATTGCATGTGTACGTGATGTTGTGAGATATGTAAGGTCATCTCCAAATAGGCTAGAGACTTTCAAGAGATGTATGAAGAGAGAAAAAATTAAGTCAAGGTCTCTTCTATGTCTTGATGTACCCACTAGGTGGAACTCCACTTACTTGATGTTAGAGGCAGCTGAAAAATTTGAGAAGGCCTTTAAGCGGATGGAGGATGAGGACTCCAATTATAAATCTTGCTTTTCGAGTGATGTGATGATGGGGAAGAGGGAAGTGGGAAAAAGAGGGCTCCAACCAAGAGTGATTGGTGCAATTGTAGATTGTTTGTAAAAGTCCTAAGGTGGTTCTACAATGCTACCAAGCGATTTTCAGGCTCACTTTATGTTACTTCAGATTGTTTTTTTGATAAAATGTTTGTTATTCAATCCAAAATTGAGCAATTGCCAAAAAAAGAGTCAAAAAGGATGAATTGTTATCTTTAATGGCCAAAGGCATGAAAGCAAAATTTCATAAATATTGGGGAATGGAGATAAAATAGATATTTTATTGTATGTTGTGATAGTGCTTGATCCTAGAAAGAAGTTGAGGTATGTCAAGTTCTATTTTTCACAATTGTATGAGGTTGGAATGGTGAATCAAATAACAGGTTAGGTGAAGGATTGTTTGACTCGTTTGTATGACCATTATATTGCAAATGATTCAAGTAGTGTGGAAGTGACTAATACAAGTGAACAATCTGCCATGAATGTGGATGATGATTGTGATGATCCAAAATTGTTCATATCATCTCAATTTAATTCATATTTGGATTCTGAATATTCTATTTTGTGCAAATCTGAGATGGCTGCATACTTAGCTGAGCTTTGTCAACGTACAAAAGAAGAGAATTTTGACATTTTAAATTGGTGGAAGAGTAATTCCTCAAAATATCGAGTGTTGTCCCAAGTTGCACATGATGTGCTAGCCATGCCTGTTTCTACAGTTGCATCTGAGTCGGCATTCAGTACTGGAGGACAAATCCTTGATCCATTATGTAGCTCATTATCTCCTATGATGGTGGAAGTACTTGTATGCCTACAAAATTGGCTTCAAAGCAACATACCGATTTCTCTTCACAAGGCAATGGATGATGTTGAACAATTTGATCAATCTAACTTAGGTAAATAGTATATAGTTCACTTTGTATACATTTTGAATTTACTGTGATCAACATGGACCTTTGGATTACTAACTATTGTTTGTCTTCAGCTTTTCAAGGATCAAACACAAGCTTGAGCCCATGCTCAACCCCAGCAACAAATACTGTTATTAATGTCTAGCATTGGAAATGACTTGGTAATGAAATTGTATAATGTATTTTGTTTATGTAATATGAGGGTTATATTTCTGTAACTTTTTCTTTTATATGTAGTACATGAAATCTAATTTCAATTATATTTTTGCAGGAGGAGACAAGTGCATGCAGCAAGATGGACACATAGCTCTTGTTTATTGCACAACATTTTTTGTTATTAGTACTGTACATGTGGATGAATGCAATTAACACTAAACAGTAGCAAACTTGGTCACTTTCTTTTTAACATTTTGTTTTGTTGCTACCAAGTGGTATTGTGACTGTTGGCTATTATTTTTGAATTTTTGTGGTAGGTTGCATTGTTCAATGCATCATGCCTTAGCCAACAGCTTAGTCTTGCCACTTAGCAAATGCTAGAGTATAGTTACAACCTCACAGGTATAGCTACATCTATAGAGAACCACAACACTTTAGGATTTTGGATATTGGGTGTGTTTGGTAACGTTTACGTTTTCAGTTTATATTTACAAAAATTTTATAAACTGGTTTTTATTTATTTATTGTTTATTTTGTAGAAAAACATAAATTACAAATGCGTTTGGTAATTAGTAAAATGTTTAAAAAATTTTAAAAATATAAAAAAGAATGAGAAATGGCAAGTGGCAGCGGAAGACGGTGGTGGAAAGTGATGACGGTGCAAGTAGTGCGGAAGTGACTAATACAAGTGAACAATCTGCCATGAATGTGGATGATGATTGTGATGATCCAAAATTGTTCATATCATCTCAATTTAATTCATATTTGGATTCTGAATATTCTATTTTGTGCAAATCTGAGATGGCTGCATACTTAGCCGAGCTTTGTCAACGTACAAAAGAAGAGAATTTTGACATTTTAAATTGGTGGAAGAGTAATTCCTCAAAATATCGAGTGTTGTCCCAAGTTGCACATGATGTGCTAGCCATGCCTGTTTCTACAGTTGCATCTGAGTCGGCATTCAGTACTGGAGGACAAATCCTTGATCCATTATGTAGCTCATTATCTCCTATGATGGTGGAAGTACTTGTATGCCTACAAAATTGGCTTCAAAGCAACATACCAATTTCTCTTCACAAGGCAATGGATGATGTTGAACAATTTGATCAATCTAACTCAGGTAAATAGTATATAGTTCACTTTGTATACATTTTGAATTTACTATGATCAACATGGACCTTTGGATTACTAACTATTGTTTGTCTTCAGCTTTTCAAGGATCAAACACAAGCTTGAGCCCATGCTCAACCCTAGCAGCAAATACTGTCATTAATGTCTAGCATTGGAAATGACTTGGTAATGAAATTTTATAATGTATTTTGTTTATGTAATATGAGGGTTATATTTCTGTAACTTTTTCTTTTATATGTAGTACATGAAATCTAATTTCAATTTTATTTTTGCAGGAGGAGACAAGTGCATGCAGCAAGATGGACACATAGCTCTTGTTTATTGCACAACACTTTTTGTTATTAGTACTGTACATGTGGATGAATGCAATTAACACTAAACAGTAGCAAACTTGGTCACTTTCTTTTTAACATTTTGTTTTGTTGCTACCAAGTGGTATTGTGACTGTTGGCTATTATTTTTGAATTTTTGTGGTAGGTTGCATTGTTCAATGCATCATGCCTTAGCCAACAGTTTAGTCTTGCCACTTAGCAAATGCTAGAGTATAGTTACAACCTCACAGGTATAGCTACATCTATAGAGAACCACAACACTTTTGGATTTTGGATATTTTGAATGGAATCTGAATGATATTTATCCCTTATCAAATGGTGGATATTTACTTTTGGTAGCAAGATAATTGGCTTTTTAATGTTGTTTATGTTATTTTTGAATTTTGGATATTGAACAATATGTTATGTGAAAAGATATTTAGTCTAGTGATATATATATTTTTTTTCATATTGAAAAATGAATTATCTTTTGGTGGTCATGTTAAACAGATACTGAAATTGGCCTAAAATTGGCCAAGGAAAAAAGTTATATTTGATGTTAACATTATTAGGGGAAAAAGATAAAGTTGGCCCAAAATAGTCCAATATACTTCAAAATGGGCTCACTTTTTGTAATAAACAGGGGGGAAAAATGAAGTTGGCCCAAACTAGGCCAATTTACTTCAAAGTGGGCTTACTTTTTGTAATAAACAAGGAAAAAAAAATGTACATGCCCAAATTTTAGAAATCTAAAAATGTAGTTTTTCAACCCGCCCCCCACTTGGACCTGCCCGCCAACCCGTTTGCCATGAGCGGTCGATTTTGAAAACATGAACGGTCAAGATTATTTTACAAATGTCTAAACTGATCATGTTTGGTTAGGTTTCGGGTAAGGGTCAAACCTGACCTGAACTGACCCGTGCACAGGCTTACTCTTCTATTTTGTTTTTCTCGCTCCTTAACATACGAGAGGAACTAACTGATGTTCTAATTCTTAACCCTTATTTCTTTTTCAATAAACTTATTGGCTAATTAGTTTCACTTATCTTTCATAGTTAGTTAATATGAAATTTCCCATGTTGAGAAAGAAAAGAATCCATAATAAATTACACGAGAAAAAACTTATTTCCATTCCCAGATTCTATAATTGGGCAGTCAAATTAGATATTTTAATGACATGTGCATAGATTCAATGCGTACCATCGAACTTTATGGTGGTTGTCACGCTCCAAACCCCGTGACAACGCCGTACATTCATCTAAGTGAGCAAGCAAGGCTAAGAGTCCAATCAAATAAACCAACAATGTAAAATACTCAAATTAAATCTTTATTTATCATAATGACAAAATTTATAAACAATAAACAATCCTTATCATATGAAATTGTCCACCAAGTCCACAAATATAATCCACTAACAAAATAGCAATCCAAGCAACTTAAAATCAGAGTCTTACACTCGACACTCCCACAAGCAAAACCCGCATAGCTCTACTCCTTAGAATCTAAAAAACAATAAAATAAAGGTAAGCTAGACAACCCAGCAAATAACCAACCATCACTGCTAGTTGGATCAAGTATACAAAAAAAAATAGTCGATAATCAATAAATTTATTTTTGCTACAATTCAATAAATGAACAATTATTTTGTAAGATGGTTTCATAGCTAAAAATAAATACTGTAGCAATACATTTTAATTGAAAAGATAATAAGATACTTCGAAATAATTTCGTTATTTAAATCGATGGTTCGATATTTAGACAGTTCAATGATTGGATTCACAAAACTCAAGTCTTGGTGACTACGATCACTTAGCCCGCGACAAAATCCAGAACCACACCTACGCCGGTGGCGAAGCCCCAAAAGAAACTAGTTTCTATGCCAATAAATAAACCCCATTGGCTAGGGTCCAAGTCATAATCAGACTAGAGTGATGTTCAAAATTCAAACAATACACAACTTTTAAATAAAATATTTGATATTTTTAGAATAAACATTTGGTACAACTTTCAAAATAGTTTAAAAAAATATTCAAATAATTTTCAAAATAATATTCGATACTATTTTATACTAGACTTATATTTTATTTTAAGAGAACATGAAGGCTATAAATAAATATTTATAATTTCAAACGATTCGATAAGAATAAAAATGAACCAATAGAGATAGAGGATTACTTACCTCAACAACTAAAATAATATTCCAAAGCTAACTCCAAATACCCAACTCCACCACTTCAATCACACGAACCTAATAAATATAACAACAAATAAATTAATATTTTTATGTCTTTCACACATCCACAAAAGCCCATTGCATATATGCAATGCTTTAATATACAAGAAATACCAAATCAATTTCCCCAATTTAATAGCTATACACACCTTACCCAATATACCAAATTCTATTGTCAAAACTACACCTGCACAACTACTATTGCATTGTTTTCAACGACTCGCACAGTACATGTTGCACCATACATCCAATATCTCAAAACTTAGGCATCCACACAGATTTTCTATCCCATAATGTTTAGACCTCCTATTGCTCCATATAAAAACAATAAACAATGGTGCAGAAAAGTTTTACCTCAATCAATGGGTATATCAAGATATCTTCAATGTTCTGCATCCTTAATTCCTACCACAGCTTCTCCCTTGAATCCTCTGCGAAATCGTGAGAATAAAATAATATTTTTTTTCTCTCTCTTTTTCTTTCCCACGCACTCTCACTATTGCAAGATATAAAAGGCACAAATTGACTTAGTAACCTAATTCTCCAAAATTAAAATGTCACCCATTCTAAATTACAAAAATACAAAATCACCCATAACTAATTTCTTATTATTCTACTTATTGTAAAACTAAAACTCAGATTTCACATTCTCCACATCTAATAAAAATTTCGTCCTCAAAATTTGATATACCTGAGGTGTCAAAAAGTTGTGGATACTTCCGTCTCATTTCATCCTCGAGTTTCCAAGTAGTTTCTCTTTTCGAGTGATTGCTCCATTGAACCTTAACGTAGTGAATGACTGGATGCCTCAAAACTTGTTCCTTCTTATCAACAATTCGTATAAGGTGTTCCTCATAGGTCAAAGCCTTCTTAAACTACAACGGTGCATGATCAATCACATGACTAGGATCCGGTATATACTTCCTCAACATCGAGACATGAAAGAAATTATGAACTACAGGACTCAATTTACCACGAACACCAAATCTATAAGGTACCTCCCCAATTCGATCTAAAACCTCAAATGGCCCATCAAATCTAGGACTCAATTTACCACGAACATCAAACCTCATTACTCCTTTCATAGGAGACACCTTAAGGAACACATGGTCTCCAGCCCCAAACACCAAATTGCATCTCCTGTTATCTACATAACTTTTTTGGTCTACTCTGTACAGTGTGAAGTCATTCTCTAATAAGATTGTTCTTGTCCACTGTTTGTTGCACAATCTCAAGCCCTAATAACTTTCTTTCGCCCACATCATCCTAACAAATCGATGATCTGCACTTTCGTCCATATAAAACCTCACATGGTGCCATTTGAATACTTGCATGATAACTGTTATTAGAAGAGAATTCCACTAAGGCCAAATGCTTATCCCAAGAACCTCCAAGATCAATAACACAAGCCCTCAACATGTCTTCAAGGGTCTAAATGGTTCTCTCTGATTGTCCATCAGTTTGAGGATAAAAGGCAGTGCTAAAATTCAAGGTAGTATCCAAAGCTGCATGCAAACTCATCCAAAACATATATACAAATCTACTATCCCTATTAGACACTGGTTAACGAAATACCATGCAACCTCACAATCTCCCTGATATACAATTTTGCAAGTCACTCTATGGAGAACCCAACCTTAAAAGTTATAAAGTAAGCAAGTTTGGTTAATCGATCAACGATAACCCAAATAGCATTGTTACCACCTTGGGTTCTAGGCAACCCTGTCCCAAAATCCATGGCAATATGCTCCCACTTCCACTTGGGAATAGGAAGGGGCTGCAACTCACCTGCAAGTCTTTGATGTTCAACTTTCATTTGTTGGCATACCAAATACTAAACAACGTACTGAGCAAATTCCCTCTTCATATTATTCCACCAAAAGTTCCTCTTAAAGTCTAGATTTCTCTCTTGAGCTATAAATCATTAGGCTCACACAACCTCTCTTCAAATCTCAATGTTTCATCATCATTCATACAAAATTCAATCTGTAACTCTATTTCCAGTTCAACTTTAAGTTTTAGCAACTGAGGATCTCTTCCCTAAGCATTTTTAATTCTATCAATCAATATGGGTTGAACTCTAAGGTTTGCCAACTGCACTCCATGGTTGTGCCATCTAATCTCGATACTCAACCTTCACAAATCCTCCAAGATATTCTTCTGATTAGTGATCAAGGTAGCCAAATTACTCAGGGTCTTTCTACTCAAGGCATCCGTCATTGCATTGGCTTTTCTTGGGTGATAATTAATAGTCAAATTATAGTCCTTTAATAGCTCCAACCATTGCCTTTGCCTTATATTCAATTCTTTTTGAGTGAAAATATATTTCAGACTTTTATGATTAGTGAATATCTCACATTTTACCCCATACAAGTAGTGCCTCCAGATTTTTAATGCAAACACCACTGTAGCCAACTCCAAATCATGCGGGTTAAGAGTCCGGTTGAATAGGTCATGCCCAAACTTTTAGGGGCAAGTCTGGGGTGTGACATTGCCATTCTGCATTAGGGTGCAACCCAAACCCATCTTCGATGCATCACTATAGATGGTAAAACCTTCATCCCCGAACGAAATTATAAGTACTGAAGCAAACACCAATCGACTCTTTAGATCTTGGAAACTCTTCTCACAATCATCAGACCACTCAAATTTAACCCCTTTCTATGTTAAACGAATCAAATGCATAGAAATTCAGAAAAATCCATCAATAAACCTTCTATAGTATCCCGCTAAACCCAAGAAACTACGAATTTCAGTGACACTAGTAGGTCTATTCCACTCTACAATAGCCTCTACCTTCTTGGGGTCAATAGACACCCCATCTTTAGATATCACATGTTCCAAAAATGATACACTCTCTAGCCAAAATTCGCACTTCTTAAATTTAGCGAACAATTTATTTTTCCTCAAGATTTGCAATAATATTCTCAGATGCTCTTCATGCTGCTCTTTACTCTTCAAGTACACAAGGAGGTCATCAATGAAAACTACCACAAACTGGTCTAAAAATGGTTTAAATAGTCTGTTCATTAAATCCATGAAAGCTGCAGGCACATTGGTCAACCCAAACAGCATCACTAAAAATTTATAATGCCCATACCTAGTTCGGAAAGCTGTCGTAGGTATATCCTCCACCTTATTCTTCAACCGAGGATAGCTAGAACGAAGGTCAATCTTAGAAAAGACTTGTGCTCCTAGCAACTAATCAAATATGTTATGTATTATGGGCAAAGGATATTTATTTCGAATTGTCACATTCTTTAACTCTCGATAATCAATGCAAAGGCAAAAACTACCATCTTTCTTTTTCACAAATAAAGCAGGCACACCCCAAGGAGAAACACTAGGCTTAATAAAGCCCTTATCTAGTAACTCTTACAACAGTTTCTTCAACTCTACTGGGGTTATCCGATACAGAGCCTTGGAGATAGGACTCGTGTCGGGTATCAATTCGATGGCAAACTCAATCTCCCTATCTGGTGGCAACCCTGGTAAGTCTTTAGGGAAAACATTGGGAAATTCATTCACAACTAGAATATCTTCTAGCTTCAATTCAGTTTCATGGATATCTCTCACAAAAGCTAATATAACCCTCGCAACCATTCATTAACAATCGTCTTGCTTGCAAAGTTGAGATTAGTAGAGGAGAAATGTTAACTCCACTACCCACAAAACAAAATCCTAGTTGATCAGGAATCTGAAATACCACTCTTTTGTCTCGGCAATCAATAGAAGCATAATTGGTTTCCAACCAATCCATCCCAAGAATTATATCAAAGTCCTGTACATCTAAAACAGTCAAGTCTACATACAATTTCTTGTTATCTATACTAACCACACGAAATTTGCAAATTAAGTCAACAACCATAACACCTTCTATCGGGGTTTCAACACATAAGTCGATCTCTCTAGAGACACATTTCCATCCATGTTTCTTAACAAATGCTATAGACACAAATGAATTTGTAGCGCCAAAATCAAATAACACGTGCATCAACAGAAGACACTAAAACAGTACCTGACACTACCGTGTTGGAAGTCTGAACATCTTGTTGCATGAGTGCTTACACTCAGCCCTGAGTCTTTGGCTTGTGACCGCCATTTTTCTTTTGATTCTTAAAGACACTTTGTTTGTTGAAGCTTCTTTATTTGTCCATGCTTTCTGTTCAGTCTCATGCCCCTTTTAGTTAGGGCAATCAACTATCATGTGCCCCTGTTGCCCGTAGGAGAAACAAGCCCCAACATTTCAACGGCACTCACTATCTTGATGAAACCCATTATATCTAGTGCATCGTACCCTATCATTCTACTTGTCAATACTACCAGCCACAGTTCAACTTCCACAACTCCTAATCGAAGAAGTGTTTTGTCTATTAGCATTGCCCTTCAAACTGTTATTAGTTTGGAAGTTGGAAGAACTAGGTCTCTTCTTATAATTCTCTTTTTTCTCTTTTTGGTCTTTAGTGAGGCCACTCTCAATCAACAATACCTTATTCAACATTGCTCCAAAAGTAGGTAACTTGAAAGGAACCACATGTTGCATAATGTTCGTTTTTAGCCCACCTTCGAACTTTCATGCTCTACTATCCTCGTCTACTACAAATGCTGGTGCAAATTTAACTTAGCTTCATATTATGCAACCATCTTATTTCCTTGCTCCAACTTCAAAAATTCCCCCTATTTCTGTAGCCGAACACTCCTAGGGAAGTATTTCTCATTAAATGCATTCTTAAACCCTTCCCATGTATATGGGTTAGCATCATGCTCATGTGTGCGTTTCTCTATTTGCCGCCAATCATAAGCTATCTGTTGTAGCATAAACACAGAATAGGTTACCTTCTGATCGTCCGTACACTCAAAAATAGGAAACAACTTTTTCCATTTCTGTCAACCATTTTTCGACCTCCAAAGGGTATGTGGCTCCCTTAAATGCCAAGGCTATCTTCTTAAACTCAATAATGTTACAATGTGGCCTCAGTTGTAGCCGAACACCAGGCTACATTCGTTGTTGTTGCTCCACAAGTCTTGTCAAGTCATTCTCTATGGTGGTTTGTTGTTGCACTACCCTCTAGACACCCCATTTTTGACTGCCCGCAAGACTTAGGCGCTTGGTTCGATACACTCAATGATGAAAGTTAAATTGTGAATTCGCGGCGATTCGGATTCAATCAAGCACTCGAAATAATCTCAAATCTTCAACATTTACCTTGTTTGAACCTGTGAGTTTCATTTTTGGTCCTTTTTCCGCTCTGAGTTGAGTTTGAATCAAAAAAAAACAAGGGAAGGCATCAAAGCCCAGTCATGCATCAGTGGTGGCTGGCCTTTGGTGGTAAAAAACACTATTCTGGGCAGGAGCCCACCAACTGTCCATTTTTGAAGATATTTATCACTTTTTGAGCTCGAATTCTATAAAAACGAAGTTGTGTTATTGTTTTGAGGGTTGAACAAAATTTAGAGAGCCTATATACACCTTGAGAGCTCCTCCCT